TTGACACCCTCAAGCAAGAGGGTAAGACACAGAAAGAAATTGCTGAATGAATAGGCTGTTCCCAGAGTGCTGTATCAAGGCACCTCAGTGGGAAGTCTGTGGGAAGGGAAAAGTGTGGCAGAAAACGCTGCACAACAAGAAGAGGTGACCGGACCCTGAGGAGGATTGTGGAGCAGGGCCGATTCCAGACCTTGGGGGACCTGCGGAAGCAGTGGACTGAGTCTGGAGTAGAAACATCCAGAGCCACCGTGCACAGGCGTGTGCAGGAAATGAGCTACAGGTGCCGCATTCCCCAGGCCAAGCCACTTTTGAACCAGAAACAGTGGCAGAAGCGCCTGACCTGGGCTACAGAGAAGCAGCACTGGACTGTTGCTCAGTGGTCCAAAGTACTTTTTTCAGATGAAAGCAAATTTTGCATGTCATTCAGAAATCAAGGTGCCAGAGTCTGGAGGAAGACTGGGGAGAAGGAAATGCCAAAAAGCCAGAAGTCCAGTGTGAAGCACCCACAGTCAGTGATGGTCTGGGGTGCCATGTCATCTGCTGGTGTTGGTCCACTGTGTTTTATCAAGCGCAGGGTCAATGCAGCTAGCTATCAGGAGATTTTGGAGCACTTCATGCTTCCATCTGCTGAAAAGCTTTATGGAGATGAAGATTTCATTTTTCAGCACGACCTGACACCTGCTCACAGTGCCAAAACCACTGGTAAATGGTTTACTGACCATGGTATTACTGTGCTCAATTGGCCTGCCAACTCTCCTGACCTGAACCCCATAGAGAACCTGTGGGATATTGTGAAGAGAAAGTTGAGAGACGCAAGACCCAACACTCTGGATGAGCTTAAGGCCGCTATCGAAGCATCCTGGACCTCCATAACACCTCAGCAGTGCCACAGGCTGATTGCCTCCATGCCACGCCGCATTGAAGCAGTCATTCATGCAAAAGGATTCCCGACCAAGTATTGAGTGCATAACTGAACATGATTATTTGAAGGTTGGTGTTTTTTGTATTAAAAACACTTGTCTTTCATTGGTGGGATGAAAGGAGTTTGCATGTTCTCTCCGTGCATGCGTGGGTTTTCTGTGGGTGCTCCGGTTTCCTCCCACAGACCAAAAACATGCATGTTAGGCTGATTGGTAACTCTAAATTGTCCCTAGGTGTGAGTGAGAGAGTGAATGGTTGTTTGTCTCGTTTGTCTCTGTGTCCCTGTGATGGACTTGCGACCCGTCCAGGGTGTACCCCGCCCCTCGCACAGTGATTGCTGGACATGGGCACCAGCGACCCCCGTGACCCAAAATGGAATAAACGGGTAAAGATAATGGATGGTGGGATGAAATATGCTAATTTTTTGGGACAGACATTTTGGGTTTTCATGAGCTGTATGCCATAATCATCAGTATTAAAACAATTAAAGACCTGAAATATTTCAGTTGGTGTGCAATGAATCTGAAATATATGAAAGTTTCATTTTTATCATTACATTATGGAAAATAATGACCTTTATCACAATATGCTAATTTTTTGATAAGGACCTGTAGTTGGGGTGATTTTAATTTGGTGCCCGATCTATGGTTGGACAGAATCCACCTCAGGTCCACTGTCATAAATATGATGACATGATTGTTTAGTTAATGAATAGTGCAAATTTGATTGATTATTGGAGAGTTCAACATCCTGGGACTTGTCTGTTTTCCTGGTTTAATGCCTCTGGGAATGTTCTAAGTTCTAGAATCGATTACTGGCTCATTTCTACGTCTTTGATAAATCATATTAATAAGTGTGAGATATCTGCAGCACCTTTAACTGATCGTTGTGTTATTTCTATCTCTTCTGTTTTCAAGGTCTGGTCTAACTCGTGTTTGGAAATTCAATAATACTCTTTTGCAGAATTCTGTTTTTGGTGAAGATGTCAGGTGGTGGAGGTCAATGCCTTGGAAATATCAGCTGTTAGTAAATGGGAATGGTTTAAATTTAAAATAAGGGAGCTGGCTATTGACACAAGTAAAAAACTGTCTAAACTGAAACAACAACAACAACTTAATACCTTTACAAATATTAATAGTCTTAGTAAAAAGACGGATCTGTCACCTGAAGAACTTGTTGAATTAAATAAATTACAGAGTGAACTAGATAAATTATATAAAGAAAAAGCTAAACGTGCTTTTATACGTTCTCGAGCTCGCTGGATTGAAGAAGGGGAGAAAAACACATCTTATTTTTTCAACCTGGAAAAACACAGGCAACTATAAAAGAAATCACTAAATTGAATATAAATGGATCTATTTCTGAAGATGAAACTCAAATTAATAGGGAATTACCCAATTTTTACAGTAACTTATACAAATCCAACTACTCTGAGACAAACTGTTCAA